TCCCACTTTTCTGTACATCGATTTCTGTTATTCTTCTCCAAGTTCCACGAGGTCTTCCCCTTGATCTCTTGCCCTGTGGGTTCCAATCCAAAACTTTCTTTGTTATGCAGCTTTGAGTTAGAAAGACCATAAGGTCAGTAACCAAATGTTTTATCTGCTCTATCAACATAAGAAGATTATTCGGAGTCATTATCAAAATATTCAAAGAATAGCATTCTAAAAAGCGGGACATAACGCGAAACTCAAAATCTTTGACGTCAAATTTCTCAAAACTAGGTACTAAACCGTTAGAACGTTGTAATTACGAGGTGGCGATTACCCCATCGACGCCTACTAGAGAAATGGACGCACGTACAGTCAACAAAAGGATCCGGAAAACTCAGTCTCTTTAATAACCTGATTCCGGCACAAGCCAAGTGAATCAGCTTCAATTCCTGGCCAGGTAAACATGGCCGCTTTTCTGCATTCGATTTTGCTTGCTTTGAGGTTAAAGTGCTCTCGGTTTTTCAAGTGACATCATCATCATCAATGCCTTTCTCACCCTGCACCAGGGTATAGGCCACGGACAAACACCTTCCACTTTTCTCTATCCTGGGCTAGCCTCTTGATGTTATTCCATGTCTTCCCACTTTTCTGTACCAAGTGACATAGGCCTACTTATAAAGAACTGAAAATTATAATTCGTCCATGGCGTCCGACACTAACCGTGCATGAGCGTGAACATTGAATGGCTATCAGAAAAGTTTTTGTTGTTGTTGTTTTGGGATATTTTAGAACTCTGAAACTAGGAGATTAAGGGGATTAAAGAAGAGGCTCCCCCCACCACGGCAGTGCTAATTCTTTTGTATGCTTGTCACTCTCTTGTGACTTGCTATTTCCGGGGTGCCTTGATAGTCGAAGCAGATTGTGTGCTGTTGAGGCTAGAGAGGTGAGCAGGGTAAGCCTGATTCCCCGTTTGGACTTCTCTGTTGACATCCACCTCTTGCCATTCATATGACCTTATGCAGTTGCGAGCGCCGTAAAACCTCACTAAAACTAAAAAGAAAAGGCCGAGTTAACCGTCCATCCAATGTCAAACTAGAATCACGAAAACCCAGTCTTGTCAAAGTGGATGTCACTATTGGACCTCGAAAAGTGTCTACCTTACCCTATATCAAGGGACGAGAGAGAGAGAGAGAGAGAGAGAGAGAGAGAGAGAGAGAGAGAGAGAGAGAGAGAGGGAGGCAGAGAGAGAGAGGGGGGAGGAAGAGAGAGAGAGGGAGAGAGAGAGAGAGAGAAATAGATAGACAGAGTGAGAGGGAGGGGGTGGGGGAGAAAGGAGAAAGAGAGAGAGAGAGAGAGAGAGAGAGAGAGAGAGAGAGAGAGAGAGAGAGAGAGAGAGAGAGAGAGAGAGAGAGAGAGAGAGAGAAGGGGGGGTGGGGACAACAATGCAAATAGCACTCCATTTCCGAACTGGAACTTTTCACTCTCATTCAAATCCGATTCCCAACAAAGTTCATCCAACAATAAAATAAATGGAACTGAAAAGTGTATTTAACTATTTTTGCCATATTTCCTATCTCTTTTGAATTTGTATTCCACACAGAGAAACGGGCCTTCCCATAAGTGACGTAAAAAGGCCATCTTCCTCTGTCTCGATTAAAGTTCATATTACAATGTGTACATGTATAATGCTGATAGGATTATCCGACTGCAGAATCAAATGATGTATTATAAATAAGTACCGTATATGTATTTCCCAATGCTTTGAAATGATGCAAATGCAATATAAAACTTTGTAATGATTAAAAACAAAAATAATGACAGATTTGCTTCGTTTCTTGTTCCACATGCGCCAATATTCTATCTATCTATCTATTTATCTATCTATCTATCTATCTATCTATCTATCTATCTATCTATCTATCTATCTATCGATCGATCTATCTATCTATCGATCTCTCTATCTATCGATCTATCTGTCTGGGCTAACACAGAAATATCAGAAAGCTGCCCGGGCCAATAAGTGGAAGTAATACCTAAGAAATTACAACTTACAGAATAAGAACAAACATCAAGATGAGTTATAGTTATAAACAGTGAATACAGCAGCTTCGTTCCTTCACGTTGTTCTGTCGGATGCACATTCTTTTGTATATATATATTATAATGCAGGTGTTTTTTCGCTCCCATCGACACAATTTGGATAATTTGTGAGGCTGATACCAACCCTGCCTGAACGGTTCAGCCCGAGATGCGAGGGATACAACATTCGGATGAAATTCCGAGATACTTGATAGAAATTATCCCCACTCTGGAATCCGAGATCTCCTGCGTGTGACGGCTAAGCGACTATCCGCTGCACTACAGAAAAAAATAGCAGATAACAGAAATAGCAGAGTTGTGGCGTCGGTGCCCTAGTGATAAGGCTCTCAGACTCGTAACCGTAAAGGTTCGAATCCTGTCAGGGGCCCGACTTTGTGTCCCTGGCTGAGGCACTTTACACGAATTTTCCTCACTTCACCCGGGTGGGAGTGCCGTTTGTTTGTGCTTTAGAGTGTGTAATCCACAGCTTGCACTGTGTGCTTCCCGGGAAGCCGAGAATTTTTAAAATTATTGTAGGGTCTTCTGGGTAATAATGGTTTTAGAGCGCATAAAGCATGCTATAAATTGTGGATATGCGCTTTATAAATACAGAGTGACTTCGAAATGCTCCAAAGAGTTTTACCCTACAACCGATACTTCTTGCTCAATTTCGACAAACTGTGTGCCTTTATTATAGCTCAGGGAAAGAAGATGTACCTGGTACATGTGAATTGTCTATTGTGACAGTGACAGTTTTGCGCTTTGAACGCAGGCACGCACACACACACAGGCACGCACACACACAGGCACGCACGCACACACACACACACACACACACACACACATACACACACACACACACACATTACCACGTGTTTTTGTCTGTCTGTGTCTGTGTGTGTCTGTGTAAAAGAAGGCAAGCGTGGTAATGAAATTCATTAATTATATGATTCAATCCTCTCTGACATGATAACACTTGGGTAAAAGAACATACACGTAATAGTATTATTATAGTTCCTAAAAAAAAACCCAAGAAACGACCCTACAAAGCTGTCACGTTCTTGTTTGTGTATTTTCCTCTGACTGTGGGAACACGTAATCCGGCTGTGCGTCATATCCAAATAAATTGAAGTCTTGAGCCAGCAGTTCTTTAACTTTCACTCTGTCTTCCAAGGGTACTTGGCTATACAAAGATATCAAGAACTCTCGTTTTTGCCCACGTTTATCAAATTTCCCTCTCGACTCGGCGTTGGCTTTCAACGCGAGTGAGGCAAAATGTGCCCCTGTTGTTTGATCGCAAGAATCCTCATCGATTGGAAATTCGATGTCTTTGGAGATCAGCCCTCTGACGTGAAAGGACCACCACACCTTTTTCATGGCGTCGCACAGGCTTAGACACCTGGCGTACCGCTGTCCGTAGAAATCTTTAACTACAGATTTACATTTACCCGAGATTGTCATGGCATCGGAGTCCAAAACAGACGTGTCTTGACTCTCATTGACGGTCTGAAAGATATACTTCAGATCGTCGCTGATGGTTTCCAGGTGGCCAATGTAGTCGTACTTCCCAACACAGCTGTCACAGATCCTGTTGATGGGAATGAAATGTATGTTTTGCTTCCTCCCTGTCTCTTCGGAGTGTATAAAATACTTAATGAACTCCGGGAAGGTTACATTATGACCACACTTAGGCTTGTATCTATCTTTTAGTGGTTTGAAATAAGCTGTCATGTACGCGCCTAGAGTATTCCACCATACAGGGTGGGTGGCGATTTTCCCCAAGTAGCCGGAGACTAATCTTGAGTAAGGTTCCCTCACAAAGAAGAACCTTTTCACACCATCGACGTTCTTTTTTGGTTTTCTTATGAACAGAGGTTTTTCCCCAAACAGGTTGTTAGTCAGACCTTTCATATAAGTAGAACCCACTTTAGGAACACTGCACCATTCAAGTTTTCCTCCAGCAATCCTTATGATTGGCTTCTTTCTTAGTTCTTGGATCGCTTTGTCGTATTCTGGTTTGGTGCACCATTTTTTAATTCGTTCGTTTCTCTCGGCAAAGCGATTGGCGACGAGTGTAGAATTGTATATGAGGCTCTGGCTGCTGAGGTTCGATATCTTTTCTGTGAGAGTCGAGTTCGTCTGCTTCTGGTCCATGTGATCTATCGAAAGTGATGTCCATAGCGGTTGTTGTGACGTAGTCGTCCTCTCACCTGTCTCACCTGTCTCACCTGTCTCACCTGTGTCGGAGAGACCAGAAGACTTGTGGGTCTGTGGAGAAACCAAGGGAAAACAAATAGGGAAAGAAAAACAAGGATTAAAGATACTATCGTAGACAAGCGAAAGAAAATATTTTATTAGAGAGAGAGGGAGAGAGAGAGGGAGAGAGAGAGAGAGTGAGAAAGAGAGAGAGAGAGAGAGAGAGAGACAGAG